ATGAGGAACTAGTTATAGTCATATGTACGCAATATCATTTTGATTTGATATACGCAACATACATCAGCAGCAAAAGCAGCTGGTAAACGTTTTGCATGCTAGTTTTGTTTCTGCTTTTATTTTCTTTGTTTTTTTTTAAGGAAAACGGATGCGAAATGTTAGTGTAAATTCGTCATTTAGATTGAGACATTTTCCGTCATTCATCACTTGCATTGCGATAAGATATATCCAATGGTGGGATTTCTTATCATTATTTAAAATGAACAAAAAATACTGATCACAAACAGTTTAAATAGACACATCGAACGGATGTTTATATACTGGCAGTGTACAACCATATTCAACGACCATATGATCCACGGCCATAAATCGGTGTTAATTTTAGTGTTCATGTTCGTCTGGTAAGCAAAACAATAACAAAATGCAAATTGATGTAGCTACTGGCATACATCGTCCAGTGTTGAATGATCCAAAATCAGCTGCTCGAATTTGTAGCATGAAAACGATTATGGTTCGGAAACAACCACTGACACATATTTTTTGAAAATCTAAAATCATTTCCACCCAACACATAACTTCTGACCAGGGGTCCAAGGGAATCGGATTACTCCCCTTGGAGATCGGACTTTTTTTTCGGTAATCGATTTTTTGTGTCGTTAATTCTTCCTTCAGTCTAATTCTCCCCTCCCTAATCAATTTTTTTACGGATGGATTTAAAACCCTCTTAAGGTTCTATTTTTAGAATGGACTCTTGGAAAAAAAATTCAATTTGATTGGTTTTTTGCCGCAGAAAGTGAAGACCTGGTCATCCATTTTTCGGAGACCATTTCCTCCTAGATTTTTCGAAAAAATGTTGACCCCGCCCTTGTATCGCCAACTTTAAAAGCTATGACCTAACATTGGCCGTCGAGAGAAAGAATGAATGGTGAAGAAATAGATTTCAATGGCAAAATAAATCTTTCAACACGAAGAAGAAAAATCCGCTCGTTTTCCATTCAATGATGGCAAACACGAACAACCAGAGAAAATTCATATTTAAAAACTGGAAATTGAACGAACAAAGAAAGAAAAAAAAATCATATATCGGACTATCGTACTACCGACGATGCGAGAGTATGGTGAAAATGAACGAGATAACAATGAATATGCACGCAGCCACAACAGTTAACAAACGGAACGAAACTATCGACCGAAATGCGAGAGTTTCTACGAAAGAATTGGTTACTTGCACGATCGAAAAAAACAGTTTTTGTTTGTTTTAAACCAGCTTAAATTGTCATTCTAAATATCGTGCGACAATTGTACATGGTTTTTGTTTATATGTATTGACCATGATGATATACACAATTAAACGATGATAATGATTAACCGAGCAGAACAAATGTCGATGTATTTGTGCGCGGCAATGGAAGCAAAGCTTAAGAAGGCAATGACATGTTCTACATGCTTTTTTTTATCGGCCGCTATGCAATTTTGATTGCAAATGCCACAACTCGTAACTCGTCCGATGATGAGAAAAAAATACCAAACCTCGCCATAATTTCTATTTCAATCATGAACTACGGTACAAAAAAAATAAACATGAAAAGAAGTATACATTTTCGAATCGATGAAGAAACCATTAGAAAGTGCAGATTTTTTCCGAGTTTTTGCTATGCATCATTTCCAAACGGAATCAAAACGGAATCTCTTAATCCCCAACATCGAAATGAAGTAACATTGAATTGAAATCTAAAGCAAAAGTCAAATCAAAAAGTAAAATAGAAAATTATCGCTGTAGTACCGCAAAATTGTGAATCAAATTTCATTTTATTTGAATGAATTGCACATACAAAGTATATTTCTTCTGGTTTTTTTTTCTCCATTTATCCGTTTCATTTTGAACATTCTTTTGCACATCACGGTTGTACAGCTATAATAGAATGCATGCGAGTGATCAAGCGATAATGCGACCAATACGATATGTAAATGCATGCGCCGGTCACTGACAATTAATGAAAATCGTTTCGCATAGAAAAAAAAACACACATTTTATGAAATGATTATATATGCAAGATGATGAGAATTGAGTTCCAGTACCGTTGTTTTACTATAAATATAATCAACATCATTCTGCGAATAATCTTATCGTACATATGTGTGCTAACATGCAAAGGAAGCTCAAATACAGATGAATCATGTTTTAAATTGTAACCAGTTCGGTCATCAAATAAAGAAATTGTTCAACTTTCTTTCCAAGGAAATAAAAAGAAGAAGAATGAAATACACGAAAAAAAACCAAACAAACATTATGTTATGGCAGTTCAGTCTCTTGTGTGCGTATGACGTAACGGGAATATTTTTAAACCGAGCGATCATAATTCATCTTCGCATGAGAGTGAGACGATATTTAAGAAGAAAAAAAGAATATAAAAAACCAACAAAGAAAGAGCGATGCTGGATTCCACAGAAATATATATGTAACAATTCGGTGGATGGAACAAAAGCAAGACATTTTTTTTCCAATAAGCGGTGAGTGAACACATGCAGCGAACGCATTTTGAAAAATAGAATTGTCAGAACGCATCATGCTACAGTTATAAAGAATCAAGCAATAAATACATAAACAGCGAAACCTACTACCAAAAATAAACATGGCAATTATGAGATGAGCGATGTGTTCTCAGTTCAGTTCACACACGATCACACTTTCAAAATGTCAAACTAATAAATAATCTCTTGCTGCTTCCAATTGACACAACGACTACTGCTCATGCCGTTCAATGTTGGGCACATTTTTAATACTTCACCAATATAACAACAAAAAAAGTCCTGTTACATTGGCAAATGCCGAAAAAAAGTTAATATCAAATGGAATTTTATAATCATGCAAAGCGGCACGTATGTCAAATAAGAATTTTTTTCGCCCGCAGCGCGAGCTGTTACGATTCCAAGAGCACCGAACTGTTGTTGGTTGCCTTTTTTTCAAGTTCCAAATGCAGTCAGTTTGCAAATGCATAATTATATGTTCACGCGCCCACAAACCCATATAGAATGATGCAAGGCGCGATGCATAAATCATGTAAGGCTGGCCGAAATGACAAGAAATAAGCGGTCGATATGGTATCAACGGCAGAGTGTGCAAAAAAACCATATGATCGTATTAGTTTTGATATTAAAACGATTTAACAATAGCATACAGCCGGCATTCTATTTAAATGAATCATACACACGCACACACATAATCACTCTTTAAATAGCAGATCCCCATTGTTTTGATCTCATTTTACGATTGTAAATCATTTCTTTGTATTTTGCATTATGTTTTGCATGAAAAAAAAAAAAAACTATCAAACGCGTGCCATACTGTGCGTTCATATAGCGGTATTGTAGTCCATTTCCGAAGTAAAATGTTGATTTTTGATAATGTCATAATAACCAATCAATATAAAAAAAACACACCGCTTGTGACTGTGACTCAGACACACTCATGTCGATTGCTCATCATGATGCTTCACAGTCTTTAGGTTTTTTAAAATATATTCAAGAGCACTTAACCAATCAAGCTCTTCATAATTAAGGCATTGCCGGCGGTATATTGATTTAGTTTATTCTTCACATTTCACAAAGAAAATAAAACATTCCATACATCATTTTAAGCGTCTTAAAACCATTTGTTCTGAATGTTGTATGTATTTGAATAATGCCGCACCCGATTTATGTTATTGTTGTAATATGTCAGATATTCAAATAAAGAGAGAGAAAAGAATGTTTTCCTCAAACAAAACGAAAGCAAAAAATGCAAAGAACAAATTCTTGTCCAACGTCACTTTTTTATTCGTTCCTTCTTTAAGTCAAATTCATGGAACTTCATTTTTTTTGTGATGCATATTGAATATCTTTGATGAGTGCGTCGCACTCGCCGAGATTACTCTAATGATCCAAATGAAGGTAAATTCAGTGAAATACGAAATCTTTTTCGATAAACAAGATTTAATCAAAAGCGTCGATGAAAGTGAGTTAATTGTCATACTCTTTTCATTTGCTCTCTCATTCGATATCAGATTATCATTCGGTTTTCATTTGCTTCATTTTCGAATGTAAACCGAGGTTCAATGTTTTGTGTTGATGATTTTGCTACCAATAACATTGCCAAAATTTATTTGAGATACAATCTCTGTCTGTTAAATTGAAGCGAAAAAAAAATCCATTTTCGCTCTTTAATTATGTTATATTTCGTTTTTCGTTATTTTTGCAATTGCACCAACAGCGGAAGTTCTCTATCTGTTTTTGTCTGTCTGTGTCTTGTAAACGAAAGTTTTAAATTGACACCACAAAATTTAGTTGAACATTATTTGTTGACTTTCATTTCATTGAGCAACTATGATTATTTATAATCTCTGCATCGAACGACTGTAGTAGGACTGAGCTCGCCCGCATGAATACTGTTGTTTTCTATCTCATCCAATAATATTAACTATAGGGGAACTGGATAACAATCGGCTGTCGCTGCAAATTGACTAACTAAATACAAAAGCAAGATGATATGACCGCTAAATATTCATTCAAATCGGTTCGTCTTAATTTTGAGAAGAAATAAAAAACTAAATAAATAATAATAATAATATCAGAAATTTCTCTCTCCAATTGCCTGATTTCTTTGTGTGTCGATTGTAAATTTCTTCTTGAGACTTCGAATCAATTTCTTTTTCTGTGTATTTTAACTCTTTCCGTGTATCTTGTTCTCTCTTTATCGAATGCTCTCGCCCGATATGCAGGCAAGCAATCGCGGTAAATGCACGGCCTTTTTTTATTCATTTCTTTTATACAATGAATTCGCGATACCCAGAGAGAGAGAGAGAGAGAGAGAGAGAGAGAAAGAGAGAGAAACAAAGATATATAGAAAAAAGTTCAGCACACAAATTAACAACAAATCAAATAAATATATATAAAGATAAGTTTTCTTTATTTTCTCTGTGTTCTGCAGTAAAAGAAGAAAAAAAGAGATGTGAATCACTCACTTGGTTCGTTGTAGCGAAAGACGAATACGGAAATTTTCTATGGATTTCTCACTTTATTTCAGCAGACAGATTTGTTTTGTATATTCTATCGATGATACAATGTGTGTCTTTCTGTGTCTCTTTTTTGTTGTGTATTATATTCCGTTCTCTTTCTTTCTGGAATTTTGAATGTCGCTGATGTTTTTTTATTCAATATTAGCTGAAAACATACAGGAACATCGAACAGATTGAATTGTTTGTTTTCGTGTTTTTTTTTGTCGCGTTTTAAAATCACCACTCGTATATCGTTGAATAGTGACACACCAAAATCACCAATTTAAAGATGTTAACACTTTTGCTAAACTCTTTTTTTATTCTCTTAATATTTATTACTTCTTTTTTTGATATTTAAATAAAACCTTTCGATATACAATGTTCGCCTTTATTTCACTCAGAATGTTTTTTGTTGTTCGTTTGATATTTTCTTCCGTTTCAAGTCGGGTGAATTTTTCTCTCTCTTTCTTTCTTTTTTGATTGGAGTCAATGCGAGCCAAATATGTATTTCACTAGCTCCAATTGAACAACAACAACAATCAATAAAAAAAAAAAATTAATTAAAAACAACACAAACACACGATCAATGTTAAATGTCAAAGAACAGAAACAATAAACGACGGTCCTGTGTATATATATATATATATATCGTTTTAAACAACAACAACAACAAATCAATTAGATCAAACGTTGTCAACAGAACGCATGATTTGAGCAGACTGAGTCAATTTTTGACCAAACCAAAGCCATGTAGTAGCACATTGCCGAGCAGCAGCACAACTGTTTAGACAAATACCAACACACACCGCACAACCAGTCTATACACATATAAGCATGTGTCGAAGAAAAGAGAGAATATTAAAAAAACACAACGCTGAACCGTATGTTGTGCAAGACATACAAAGAGAAAGAAAGAGCCATAAATACGAGACATGTACTGAGACTGGAGTTGTGTGTGCACCAAACCGACGAAAGAAATTAACGAAACGTTACAAATTATTTGTAATACAACCGAACATCAACACCATCACGAATACGTTGTACACTTAGCACTATGGTGGAAACAAGGAACAACATGAGAAATGAATGAAAAAGATACAAGAAAAAAAAACGCAACCATATCCCAAAACAACAACAATAATAATAGAGCATTTGTGATACAGAGCTAAATTGGCAGCGCGAGATAAAACAAAATTTATATATATATACTTAATGGGCGCTCGTCATATGTGTATTTTCTACTATACATTGGCATATTGCAATAGGCGCACGATCACATGGAGTATATGTATACTCTTCAGACCTTTAGTTTTGCTGAAAACGTAATTTTGCACAACTGATTTAAAACGTTGTGTATTCGGATGGAAGATTTGATATGGTAGTAGAGAACAGACTGTGTGAGCGTTGAGTTGTTTATGACTGAACAATTGTTTGTTGATTTTATGTGCGTGTGTGTATGCGTGCGTAATTACAACCGATAGTACAACCAAATACCAATGAGGATTGTCAACAATGCAAGAATGACCTGATGTGTGTATGAATGTGTGGTGGTGTATACACAGTGCAGCAAAACATGTGCATATAAAATGTAGAAGAAACGAATAAAGGAAAAAGCTGTAAAATATAATCTTAAATCGAGGACACGATATTCTCAATCGAACAGAATGTTCGCAATACATGTGTGGCAAACAACAAGAACAATCTTTTTTGACGAGACACATTGTTTTGTTCTTTTACGGCCTGCAAAAAATTGTTGGCCGCGGCGATCGTGTTCTCTTTCCTCAGACGAATCTAGTACACGCACATTGGTTCGTTGAAGCGAATAATGGGAATATTCTTAAGACATAGTTCATTAAAATAAATAAAATAGTGTCTAATGTGGAGGCGAATTGTGACAACACAACGTATATTATTTTCCATCCATAACTCATTTGCGAACTCTATAAAAAAACTTTGTCGTCGTATTTTTCACTTCTTCGTAAGGCAAAGCAAAACAAAAAAGAGCCTCAGTTCAAGCCCATTTATGATGACGATAAGCCTTTCGAACGGAATGGCAAAGAGAAGAGAACAATGAGCTTGGAGTCGCAGAAAAATCATATAAAATGAAATGAACGAGAAGAAGTAAAAGAAAAAAAATTAATTTATGCATTCTACAGACGATTTTAAGCAGATTTTACGATGGACTTATTGCAAGCATAGCGACAATATTTGGCGCCGTTTACGATCATTTCGGTTGAGGCGCAAATGAGACAACCGACACAGAGAAAAAACACACAGAGAAAGCATTGCAAATGCATTATTCATCAATCACAGTTTTGGACAGCCAGTTGAATACTCTCTAATCGCCCTCATTCCAACTCATAATATATGATTATTACTGACGAAATGTTTCCTATCGCTTCTGCTAGGCTTCTGTGTGTATTCAGAATTTTGACTTTTCGAGCAAACGCACCGTTCGCACCGGTATTTGAGAAGAGAAAAAAAATCAGCAACCGAAAAAAGAGAAAGCAATGTCAAAGATCATAATCTCACATAAATTTCATTTCGTTTTCATAATATCACCCCAAAACTGAACAGATAATTCGCAATTCAAAGATAACCTTTTGTTATTTTTCATTTTTTGTTGAAAAAAATGTTAGAAACCAACAGTAGTTAGGTCATTTGCATTGTTTCTAATGGAGTAACAACTCATGGTTTTATGATTAAAATCACGAAAGTGATCTTTTTTTGGCGAGACACTCAGTTTTATAGCCTTTTTATAGCCTAAGACACTTGATGTACGTTCGATAAAAAAATCGTTATTAGGCAGAAATGTGTTGTATGTAAAATGGCATTTTACCATGCGACAAAATTTCTCCATGTTAAAATGGCATTTTGTCGTCATTTTAACATGCGGCTTTTTTTTTCACATGTTAAAATGCCGTTTTACCCGCAAAGACATGTGTTGCGGGTAAAATAATATTTTACCATGTGAAAAGAAATCCTCATGTTAAAATGGCATTTTGCTCTGATTACTTTGAATTTTAACATCTGAGTTTTCTGAGAGTATATTGCTTTGTTCTGGCGGTGAATGCCGAAAGAGTAAGTTGTCGTCGTGGTTTTGAAAAGTGATATATACGCATGCTTAATTTGCAGTGATTGAACATTAAAAACACTCGCGCACACTTCTACAAGCGCCAGAGGCTCATTGGCATACAATTTAAAGCAGATCAAATATCGTTTTTTCACACTCTCTTGCTTGTTTGTTGATGATCTAGTAATTATTCCCATTAAAATTGATAAATTTGTTTATTTGATCGAAAGACCATGGTCAATATTTTTAACTATGGAAAAAAAGTCAAAAGTCGGTATAGCACTTGGTTACCTTCAATTCATTGGAAAAGCAATGTACCAGAGAATCAAATGAATAGTAGTAGATGACATTGCTCTTCAAATCTAATTAAGTCGATTTAAAAACGAAAATCGATGAAAAATGCAACGTAATTGGCATTGAGCGATACTTGTTTTGTTTTTGTTGAAAATATTGACTTAGGTAATACTAAAAAGTTCAAAAAAAAAAATTCAAAAAATCTCTATGAAAATTTATGGTGAAATTGACAAAAGGGCGGAGATTTCATTGATGATTTCTAAAGTCATACTTCAGAAGGACTGACTTTAAAACTTAACCAGCCTTCTAAAATCGACAACGACATTGTTTGTATTTACCGCCGGGTTCTTTTTAATATATTTCCGTCATATTGTTACGTTGTCTTCATCACGACCAAGAATTTGCAATAATCAAAGGCAAAGTAGAATGATTTTATTAATTTAATTGGCCGTACCTTTCGTCGTAACGAAGAAATAAAACATCGACAATGTCAGATTTTGTATCGATTTTTATGCTACATGGAAAGAAAATGAAACGAGAAGAAAGGTTAATGCTCAATTTGCTCATATGTACTTGTTGCTTGCTTTCGATATTTTGTGAGTCTAGTAAATAAATCATCACATCATCGACCTATACACATTTCGCAGAAATATATGTTAAAAACGTTACTAAATTGATTGAAAAGTTTTCTTAAAAGTTGGCATTGTGCACAGAGTGCGCGCTTAAAAAAATCAACGTTGCTTGTCTCGTCAAAAGTATTAACTTTGATGTTATGATTTATATAAATCCATCGCCATGACTAATTAGATCATTATTTTGAATGTGAATAATGGATATGATGATGTGATGAAGGCTAAATTATTTCCATCACACAAAAAAGTCTTTTTAACAATAAACAAAGTTGAAATGGATTGAATTTTCTGTACCAAAAATTCATTCGATTCGTATGAGTTTTTTTTCGGTCTTCACATGCGAACATTCAATAGAAAATTTTTCGACACAATCAAATGTGCCTTTTTTTCACACTGAATCTTTAATTTAAAAATATTTTCCAAAAGAACGAATGTTTCATTTGAGTGCCACATTTAAATAGCTGGTGTTCCATGAACTGACGCATAAACAATCAAGTTCAAAATCATTCGGATTCTTTTCTTTCTTCATATTGTCAATGCTGAATTTGGCAAAAAAAATAAACAACAACTTTTTTTATTTTGTAATACAATTTTTGCAAATTAACGATATTAAATAAGTTTTTCCATTGTTTGCACGTTTTGAATACACTCTTTCTTATTCGCCTATTTATTCCAGTTGGCTGGCGCAAGCAAGCGAGAAAACAGTTACTCGATATATGGGAAAATTGAATACTTTTTTTTAATGGTACTTTTTTTTTATTCAAAATGTGTCATCGATTGATTGTATGTTATCAAAAAAAACATGGTCTGTTTGGTGCTCATCATGTGAAAATGCTATTGCCAATGTTTGCATCAAATACACACTTGCTAATTGGAAGAAAAAAATGTTTAAAGAGCAATTCTGCATAAATTAGTCGCGACCGATCATTGGGCGTTTAACTGTTGAAAGAAAGAAAATTTAGTTTTACTAAGTTTTTTTTATTACAACAATGGTCAAGCAGTCTCAACACATGAGATAGCTTTGCAAAAGGAAAGCTATTAAATTATATAAAAAAGTAAAAATTCGAGAAGAAAAATTTTTGCGTGTCTGTTAACGAAAAAAAAATTATATTAATTTTTGGATGCTTTGAATTGTAGCCGAAAGCGAGTTCGATCACGAGCCAACCAAGTGAAGATTTTTTTGACGCATTCGAATTTTTCATTTCGATCTGTGATGGTTGTGCGTATTCTCTCTCGAATCTGGCTAAATGAGACGAAAACCAACATGTGCTTTCCAAGATGAAAGCTACCTATCAGCAGTCTGGATCTGTAGATCAATTTCAATGGTAAATAATAGAAAATACTGTATGAAGTTGGTGTGCAACGACACATATGCATGTTCGTGTTTACAAATGTAAACTTTCTTAAACGTCATCGGCTGGCTTTTATTTTTGTTGGTTGATCGATTTCCTTTTCGCTTTTCAAAATGTTTGCATTTCCGCGCCAATCGATAGATCTGAAAGTCAATGATGAAAAGAAAACGCAATCGTTTATAACAAATACGAAATTTTTTTTTTTCTTTTTTTTTTCAAGTGACACGAGTAAAAATCGTCTATATAGTGCGCAAAATATCTCGTACTTGATGTAGTGTTACATCTTCGTGGAAAAATGTTATATCCATCCATCCGCAACATATGCGCGCTTACTTTCAAGTAAGTCGACATGCACAAATAACAGCAACGCCACTTGAATTACGATATATTTATAGTTTATACACATAATACATCGTATTGCATATCGTGAATTGTGATATCTCGATAGTCGGTAAACCAACTGTTGTTTTGATATATGGCAAATCAATCATACTAAGTGTGTGTGTGTGTGTATGAGAGAGAGAGAGAGAGAGAGAGAGAGAGAGAGAGAGAGAGGAAAAACTAAGTCGCAACGAAGTGGAACCCAACAGTGGCTGAACTGGTTTTGTGCATCACTTTTTTTGTTTAAACATCAATAATTTCATTTTATTCGGAATGCTTTTCTTTACAAACGCAACGTTGTCTTCATTTAATTATTTTCATTGCAATCAAAACACATTCAGTTTTTTCCTTCCTTTTCCATTTTTGTTTTATTTCATTGGTTCTTTCAAATTGTTCTCTTAGAAGAACAATGAAAAAGAAATAGTTTAAGAAAAATAGTGCAACAACCAATGCATTAAGACTTATTTGGAAATGAAGAATTTTAAGACACAGATGAATGCTTGAGAATGAATGCCAAACTTCTACTGAGGCTTTATTGAAAAATTACCACCATCATATAAAAATTGGGATTTTTTGTATTCATTCTCGGTCAATCAAATAGTCTCCTATTTCAACCGTAATCATTTTTATTATCTTTTTTAAAATGCCAATCATTCTTCAAATTTATTCATTGCATACAAACGTCTAGAAATAGTTGCTTGGGTGACATTTAACTCTTTTTGCGTTTGGTTTAGGTTTTCATCCAATAATGCTTGCAAATCCGCATTTTTTTGGTTGACCTGGTCGTTCTTTCAAGTCAAAATCACTTATTTTGGATCGTTTTCTTAATTTGGATCCCGATGGAGCTTATTCACCATAAGGATCCGAAAGCATTCAGTAGAAATGCCTTATCACGATCCATTTTGAATCAAATAAAAATTAATATATCTATTTTAATAAAAATATCTATTTTAACAAAACGCAATTGTCAAGCTACACACAATTTTAAGTTGCAATATCTAAAGCAGCAATCAATATTAATGTATACACCTATACACCCAATAGTATCTTTCTATTCCCAAAAATGAGCCAATTTTTGCTCTGAGCAAATTATTGCCATTGTTCAAATTTGTGTTTCCAAACCATAATCCAAAAATAGTATGCAATAAAAATAATTGTTTCTAATTTTTTTATTGATCCATAGTAAAGCGGTTGTGTATACATAAAATCACAAAAATATGTGTGAATGTGTATTTTGTTCGGTTTTTTTGTACCTTTAGCTCCGGCTCCACGATAAAAAAAATTAATTATGTTTGTGTATATAGAAGAAGTGAATATATCTTACAATGATAAGAGACTTTTACTTTTTTTCTCAATAAAGTGGAGACATCAGAAATATATTGCATCTCAATAAGAACATCCATTGCAAGTAGACATTTGATTGCAGTTAAAAGAATCTAATGATAATGATGATGGTGATAAAGAAGATGAGATAAGGCAAATGTGTGTTTATGTTCTTGGTGTATTCGGTGCAGATGGATGTTTTGCTGATGCAGTAGATGCAACGGATAAATTGAAGTTAAATCCAGGCATTGGCAATTGCTCCAATTGATCTGAAAGTCGTTTCTGTTCTTCAACTAAACGGAAAATTTCGTTACGTTCATGTTTTGTTAGAGGTCGTCGTTTTTGTTTAGCGGCCGATGCTCGTTCATAAGCTTTAATGACCTGTGTGATTATTAAGAAAATAGTTATTAAAATGACAATGCTACATCAAAAAAAAATCCAATAAACAAATTCAATTTACCTCTTGATCGACTCGGTCAAGTTTGCGTTTAAGTTCCAATCGCTTTATTTCATCCTTGGCCACCGTTCGCAATTGTTTCAATTCATCTCGATTAAATTCTGAAATTGCTTGTAATTCAGTGCGAACACGTTTTATCTCATTCAGTACTTCGTCTTCTTTTTCTTTTGCAAAATCGCTTGCATCAAAAATGCCCAAATCAAAAAGTTCTCTCTTCAATCGTTTCTCAACATCAATGCCACTTTTAAGCAATGATGATATGGACGATGCACGATTTGCTGATGATGAATTATTTTCGGTGCAACTGTCATTGCTATCTTGAACATCCATATCGCTGTGCATGCCGGAATGTTGTTCTTCAAACAAACCCGATACCAATCGTTGTGTTAATGGGCCACATACACCCTGGTCGATTATTTTATCGCCGCTCTTTTTCGTTACATCATTTGATGCGGCCGACAATCGCTTGGTCGATTTATCATGTTCATCGCGTAAATCGTCTGCCGTCCAACGAAGTGCATAATGGGTACCGAGCTCAGGTATTGGAGGCACTAATGGTTCATTATATTCGTCGAGTAAATTTTCCAAAAATTTTACATCCTCTTGTGTGATTGGCATACAGTATGGTTCAACGGAAAACCAAAATTTATTTGGTATATCGTTTTTCGGAAATAGTAATTTTGGATTTGGTTGCGATGAGCCAGCACTTGGTGTTGGTAAAACATCGGTATGATGATTTTCATTTGGCTGTAAATGTGCCGGTGAATTTGATGAATTGCTTTTGATTTTTGAATGTTTTGTATGACCGTGACGGCTTGAAACTTTTGACTTTTTCTCGTCACGTTTTCGTGATTTGCTCGCATTCGATTCCTTGTCTTTGTTTGCATTTTTCTTTTGATGCTTACGATCTTCCAAGTAATCAAAATCAGTTTTTAATGCACGATATCGCAACGAAACGGACGATAGTAAAATTTCCAACTCCATTTGAATCGCATCCAAATCGTCCATGGGCAAACAATCATTACTTACCGCTAATTTAACGAAAAATAATAAATAATAATATTAATATTATATTTTATTCATGAAGAAATTTTAACTTTGAACTTACCAGCAGCATATTTCGGTAGAACTTTTGGATTATCTTGAATTTTTATAAATGACAAAGTTATCATTGGTTTTGGTGTTGTAGCACCCGTGCTCGATGCATGATGATGGTCCCGATGATGATGATGACTACTGGACTTATGCTTTGCCGGTGAATTCGACATTATTTCCACTCAAAAAACTATTTATAAAAAAAAAAAAAAAAACAAATCATTTGAAATATACAGAAAACATCAGTTTTTACGCTTGAATCATGGCTGAAACTAGGCCAAACAATGCTCATTACAAAAAGATCAATTTATACTCGATCAGAATTATTGGAAATATCGAATAAAACATCACAATGTAATTTATACTCACTCAATTCACTTTAAAAACCAACAAAAAATACAAAATAAAATTAAATGCACGCTCACTAAAAAGGCAAATTCATTTGTTTTCTGGCATGAAATTGTTTACTAATGCGATTGCATCGTATAAATGGTGAATGTGTGTATGGGAGGGAAATGACAGTTCATTTTGTTATGATGCTCATATGGTGGTGGCATTGGTGCGAATGCAACAAATGTCACATATGCATTTTGCGTTTGTGGCAGACTCTGTGCACCAAATTATTTATTTCGATGAAGAGAAAATTAATTTTTTTATTTTTTTCAATATTTCAATATTTGAATTTTTTCAAGACCATTTATCAACAAAAGAAATTATTTTTCATTAAATGGTACAGTTTTTAGATTTTACATATTCATTTGGAAAAGCTGACAACGCCATCTATCAGTGAAGCTAGAAAACATAATATTGAAGTGGAAAATTGCTTAAATTTATTCCATAAACACTTCACGATGGAAATATTTGAATTATAATGAAAAAATACATTCAGACTCTATCTTATAGAGTACAAATGGAAATTTAATATTTTGCCAATTTTGTTAATATATTTATAGCAATCAATGGGAGGAAATGACACCAAGTTTTAAAATTGGCGCGCTGTTTAGTTTCGATTTGAGTTGTTAAATTACATTGACGTCCCCTTTGAAATTCAGGGCGCCACCGTTGGCTCAAAGAGACTTGAAGTCTTCACATCCTTCCATTGATAGCAATTTATTTACCATCTGAAGTAAAAATTCTTGAAAATTTAGTTTTTCTTGAAAATTGCAGGTACATTCTTCGATTTATTATATTTTTATGCTGTAGATTAAATTTGGGAATCAGTTTTTTTATCAAAATGGGTTAATTTATTCTTTTATTGACGAAATTTTGGTTTTTTTCTTCGTAATTTTCAAAAAGATAAAAAAGAACGCAATTTCATAATTGTCTTATTTACGTCATAATTACAGTTGTCCGTTCATAAATAATTAGAAACAGATTATTTACATATTTAAATATGTAAACAGGTTCCTGTCATATCATCTGTCATGTTATCACTTACCGAACAACGCAATGACAATTCATGGAAAACAAAAAAAAACACAAACATGTGTCAAATGTATATAAAAACATTGAATGGGTGAATTTTTTTCTTTTAAAAAGAGTTGCATTTCACCGATGGAACTACAGGAGGAAACAGATAGGTGTCGTTTATGTTTTTTAAACGTCACCAAATCTATCAATATATTTAATAATTCGATATTAGTTCCAAGTATTATTGAGCCGTTAAAACAGTATTTTCACGATGAAGTAAGTGATACGCATAAAATCCAAAGGACATTACGTCCGTATATATTAAATAAAAGCGAAATTCTACACTTTTTTAAAGGTAACTGAATCGGATATTTTACCAAAAATTATTTGCTGGGAATGTTGGGAAAAGATTGAAGAATTTCAAAAATTTGCTGACGAAGCAATTTTATTACGTGATGAATATTTGCAAAAATGTTTCAGTGACGGTGAAAAATTCGATGGTATTTTTCATAGGTCCGTTGATGTCATCAAGTGAATAAGAATTTGCATAATTTTAGATTGTAAAATCCCAGATGAGGAAAAAGTTGGAGTTACTATGGTATTTGAAAATGATGGTGACAGTGACAAATCAAGTGGAATAATGTCTCTGTGCGAATCATCAACCAAACAAGAAAACACACATGTCCAGATTGATGATGAATTGCACATCAATAACTCAAAAGACCTCATTCTTCCCGATTTTATCGACACATCTTGTGATATGTGTTCATACACGAATTTCAAAACGTTCAATGAACTTCGATTACATTTTATGGAAAGTCACGATTCAATTGGTTATGTTAAATGTTGTGAAACGTAAGTAATAATTATCCATATATATATATATATAACATTGATATTGATGACAATGTGTGCTAATATGAATTTGCATATTTTTTACTTCATACAGAAAGTTTTCCAGACGGGATCTTCTTGAAGAACACATTGAACTGCATAGCAATCCAGACCTTTTCAAGTATAACCACTCAGAGAAATTGAACAGTGTAAACACAAATGTTTGTTGTGTATTTCGCCCATTTACACAGACGTTTCACACACAGTGTGAAACGTCGAATTACCCTCACTACAATAAAAATGATGTGAATTCGATATTTTACACTGTGTGTGTATAACGTCAGTGAAAATCGTCATTGATTTTTCGTAAAAAAAACTATTTTTTTCAAATGATTAATTTTTTTTCATATTTTTATTTTATTGTTAAATATTCAATGAAAGATTTAAAATATAATTTGATTTGAAATTGATGTGATTTATAGTGATATTTTGCTCTAAAAAAAGTTTACCGGTGTGTTGTAAAAACATAAAAAAATCCGTATCTCACGCTCATATTTGCGATAATTTTTATTTGTTTTTCATCATTTAATCGATTTCGCATATTGAAAGAGCCAAAAGAAGTGATATAATTAAGTTTCAAGCGAAGAACGAAATGATTAAAGTGTTGATTTTGTGTATGAAAATGTGCGACGGTTCATTCAGACGTCTTTGTTGTGTGTTCAAATAAACATAAGTTAAGATTGAAAAAACTTCACTTGAAACTTAATTATATCACTTCATTTTTATTGTAGTGTGAGTAATTCGACGTTTCACACTGTGTGTGTATAACGTCAGTGCAAATCGTCATTTTACACTTTGATTTTGCAAGTTTCCCATTTACAATGGGCGAAATACACAACAAACATTTGTGTTTACACTGTTCAATTTCTCTGAGCATAATTCGTCTTTTTTAAATAAACTTCTTACATTTATTTATCACTCATTATAGATGTTTGCAACGAATCAACGCTCATTCAATCATCATTCATTCAAAGAGATTCATTTGTGGAAAAACATTTTTTGGCTAGAAATGCACTCATTTTTTATTTCATTCCAAAACTCATGACAAACAGCACCAAAACTTCATTTGTGATATATGTATGTGATAAAGGGTAGACTTATCTAATCGTAACCAATTGATTTGAAATAGATATTCCTGCGAAGAATATTTGGACTTGCATAAACGAAGTCGAAAACTAAATCATGACTGTGAATTCTGTGGAAAGGTTTGTCTAAAATTAGAACGGCACCAAAGACCAATTGAACATTAACTTTCGATATATAGGTATTCAAAACGAATTCATCACTTAAAAATCATTTGGCGAGCCATTCGAATGGATCGCCGGCACCGAAGCCAAAGTTAAAGTTCCAGTGCACCTTGTGTAAGGTTTGGCTTTCGAGCAAAAGCAGCCTGAAACTTCACTTACAAACGCACACGGCTGAATCTTCGAGATGTCACAAGTGTAACAAAGTCTTTTCACATTCATACGGATTGGTTCGGCACATCCGAATCGTACATTTCAATCGAATCTACCGATGTCATTTGTGCAATAAGGCTTATAAACGCGGAGATTCATTAAGGGTACATTTTTTAATTCATTTTTTTTTAAATATTCATTTTCAAATCAATCTACACTCAAATTTAGGACCACATTGAAACGCATCAAAATCACAAAATTTACAAATGTACCTTTTGCGAGGAATCTTTTGGATGGCGATCGAATATGTATAAACATCGAAAACTGGCCCATCGAATGGAGTGGCTTGCTGAAAAAATGGAAAAAGAGTCGGCCAGAATGAAAGCATAATTTTGTATTGTGAGAAAATAACGTATCAGATTAAGTAACCGTAAAAAAAGTCGTTTTAGTATTAATACAGTACAGGTAATCATCAAAATTAAACTGTTTTTTATTGTATTTTCATCAAATTCTAAGAGAAATTGCGAACTAACAAAAATAAAATAAAATACAAAATAAATACAAATAATAACAAATACTTACTTACAAATTGATAAAAATATTCGAATATTGTTTTTTTTTTTTACTGATTTCATGCGGCGAAAAACGCTTAATGCGCCATCAAGTGTAGAAAATTGTGAACTACACTTTGACATTTGTTGCAAAGCAATTATAAAATTTGACATATTGTAAACAAAACATTGAAACAAACAGTTTATCACTTATTTTACCGCTGTGTTCTAAAATAAAGTAAATTTTAACTCAAAAAAATATAATGGAAGTGACGGAGGAAACTGAACGTTGTCGGTTGTGTTTCTCTCAAGTCACAAAATTCATCGATATATTTGGTGAATCTGCATTGACTCAGAATATAATCGAACCATTGAATCAGTACTTTTATGATGAGGTAAATTTGAATTATTCAATTTCTTATGTTTTTAAACTACACACCCTCGTGTATCTAATTTTTTTGTTTGTTTTATAGGTGACCAAAACGGACACTCTACCGAAAATCATTTGTTGTACATGCTGGGAAAAAGTGAAAGCATTTCGTAACTTTGCTGAAGAAGCAATTGCATTACGTCAAGAGTATTTAAAACAAAATAACACCACCAATCATGAAAATGCTGAAAACAATGATTTAGATGGTGCTTTTCAATGGATTTATTGTTTTTGTTTTCGATCTTACATAAATATGAATCTTTTTTTTAGATTCTGAAACTGCAAATGTCGAAGCACAAGTCCACGAAGAAACAGTATACGTGGAACCAGTGCCAACACCGTCCATTGATGGTGGAGATAATAAATTAACTGCGGGCAAGTCAAATTATGAAACATCGTGTGATGATTCTAGTGATAAGTGGTTTAATGCAAAAGGACCATCGAAATCGGAAATTGATGACGTCGATCTACCTGATTGTGCCGATAAATCGTGTGATTTATGCCAAAAGACAGTATTCAAAACATACAATGCAATGATAAGACATTATCGTGAAGACCACAATATTACATCCGGATATGTCAAGTGTTGTCAACAGAAATTCTATGATATCGGCTTTTATAAGGAGCATACGGCCTGGCAACACATTAATCCCGATGTATTTAGGTATGTTATATATAAAACATATTCATTTAAACTTTATTTCTAAATAATATGCTTTTAGACCGATTTTGGAGTGGCACCATGAAGAACACAAGATTGGCTCCTTTCTCTGTGAAATCTGTGCGGAAGTAAGTTAATATATGCATTTTTGGAAGAGTGAAATAAAAAACAAATTATTTTCTATTTAAGTTGTTTAACGAATGTGCTCCGTATTTATTCGCGAAACAACGAAATTTGAATATGGGAAAAGATAAAGTAACTAGACAAATCGATATATTATATTATCCGCATAATAGTATAAAATCAGTCTACAGACATTCGTATTAATTGTTTGTTATATGACTTTGACTTACGGAAACATTGATCTTTCGAAGTCATTTGATAAGTCTTTGTAATTTTGGCAGAGCACAACATATCCGCTGGTTTTAACGAGCTCAAAAAAATCAACGAGTTATTGTGCGATTTGCGTCCGGCAATCGGTGAACATGTCGAATTACACTAGTGACGCTTATTTGTACCATCCACGAATTCCACCCGATACATGTCCAACAGTTGAAAAAGTGCACAATACAGTGCCAGTACGATTTCAATGCAAAAAAAAAATGCTCAAAATGGTCACAGTGGTTTCTCTATCATTTTAATCGGCGCTTATCACAACAGAAAATCCATTCGGAAATAGTTCTGAGCCCGCGATTTGGTTATGAAATCGTTAGTTTTATAAATTTTGTCTATTTTCTCTACTTTTTACGTATTCCCAATGACTAGAATTTATTGAATTCGAATAAATCGATTATATGTTGTCTGTATAGTACAGAATAACTATTATCAAATCAGTCTATTGCATGCTGAATTGTTTATTTGAGTGATGAAAGCGAACTCCATCGAAGACTAATTGAGCAAAGGAGCAAAATCAACGGTGTCCATTAATGCGACTAAAACCGAGAAAATGTATGTAAAAAATGGACAAAAGGTGGAGCAGCCAAAAATTTGACCAACACTGAAATATAGTACCATACTCATATTACTCATACGTATATGCCAAAAATAGTGTAAACAAATATTGGAAAATCTATTCCGTGAAAATAAAAAATAAAAATCCAAAACACATGGAAAATTGTAGGAAAAAAGAATTATAAAATGTCGCTCAGAAGCAGTAGTTATGTAGAAGAAAAATACACCAACATATTTATCAATTTAATTGAAAATCGATTTATTTACTCTTTTGAACAGAGATTATACTGTGAATAGAAATATATTAGTGCATATTTGCCATCAAATAGAAATATGCGATATACACAATATATCTCGCCGCTTGTAAGATGTATAAGTGCGTCAATTACGAAAACACGAAAAAGAATACAGAGCGAGATACGAAGAATGTGTGTGTATGCTTCATGCCTATCGTCTTATTCGTTATTTCACTCTTTCGTCTGCTATCATATATGCATGTTGGCAAAGGCTGCTACGCTACATAGCAGGCAGATGAAAAGGGGGAATAAAGAAAAGGATACAAGGCACGAAGCGTACACACACATACATGTACTTGTGTTTATTCGTGTCTCGCTTCGTGTCAATAAGAATTCGTGTTTTCGTAACTGACGCACATACATCTCACGAGATATATTGCGAATATCGTATATTTCTATTTGATGGCAAATATGCACTAATATATTTCTATCCACAGTATAATCTCTGCTTTTGAACAATTTGCTGAATCTAATATTATTAATCTTTGTCATTTATTAGGAGTTCAAATCGAAACCGGAATTGGATAACCACGTAGAGTTACATTTAAATGGAATCATAGACCATAGACCGAGGTTAAAGTTTCAATGCAATCAATGCAACAAAATTTCACCAAATGGAAATGCACTACAAACACACATTCGTCAAGTGCATTGCGAATCCAAATACAAATGCCACTTGTGCTCAAAATCATTTAAAATGGAGGACTCTCTCAAGGTAATTACAAAAAAAGGCTTGAATTCAATTGAACGAAAGTTGTATTATTTGATAAATTAATTTCATCAACAGGATCACGTCTCGATGCATCTGAAAAGCAAAAAATACAAGTGTTCATACTGTAGACAAGAGTTTGTGTGGCGTTCAAACATGTACAAGCATCAAAAACAATTGCATAGAAATGAATGGCTGAGTGAGAAAATGCGTTGGAATACCGCACCCAATGGCAGCTGGAACGTCAGCCAATAACAAAATTTGAATTTACTTAATAAGCTTTGAAATTGTGCAAGAATAAAATTACATATTTTTAAAATTATTTGTTTAATATGTTTCGAAAAAGAGTTTTATAACAGTTCATTAGGGAACAGAAGAGAAGGTCAGAAAAGTTGTGCATAATTTTTCAAAAGAAAGAAACTAACGAAAGAAGACTAGGAACTAGACTAGGAAGCAACTGACAAAAAAATTTCATCAATGAAAATAAATTCGCGCTGAAATGATTAAAAATTAAAAAAAAAAAAACAAAACAAATCAACGAGGTTATTGTTTGTTCCCATCTTTGCTCAAACATTCTTGGTTTATCGTTGGGTGATTGCAATATTTCGATCAGTAATTCCCTTGGAATTGTCAGAAAAGTGAAGTTCAATATCTTCTGGCGTTCGATTGTCCGTCTCAAAATATTTTAAAGCCCCAGAGATCCGCAGAAAAATTAACCAATTCAATCAAAATTATATGATTTGAATTCAAACCATATCGACTTTCGTCAAAAAAATCATGAAAATACACAGAAATTCGGTAGTTTGTTGTACTAGAGCCACTTGAAACTATGTCGATTGCAGACAGGCCAAGCCGTGGCCGAGATGTCAAATCACAAATGACATTAGTTGTTCCTATCGAAATCTGCTGTCAAGCAAGTTATATATTAATTATTGTATTACATTTTGTACGAGACTTATTTATTTAGAAATATAAAAAAAGAATGTGAATGTAAACAAAAAAGATAAAAAAAATTAATATCGTGACGAATTATGTAATAAAATAAATATTATAATTCAATTACTCAGCGGCTAGTGTGATTTCATACGTCTAAACCGCTGCAAAGCAATATATACAGACACACAAATGTCGACTCGCTTTAGATAACCAATTTTCTATTTTTTACACCTAATGACGGCTCATCATTTTTGTTTTTATTTCATTAATAAAACTAAATTAAAATTGAAATTAAATTAAAAAATGTAAGTTTTTTACGAATGCGATTGCGTGGTTTTATTGTTCTGCAGCAGCAGCAGGAATATATTGAGGTTTTGTGTCCTCCTGAGTCAATTTTATTGTATTATTTTTTTGTAGTTCTTTTATTTAATGCACGTTTGAAAAATTAACAAAAAGCAAATTAGGAAAATTGATTTATTGTTTTATTTTATAAATTCTTATTTTTTAAATGAAGAACACTTTCGCTTTAATGAGTCACACATTAAATGATAAATCATTTTCAATGCTATAATATGTTTCTTTTGAACGCACTCAAATTTGGCACGAAGAAACTCTTTACTTAGCAAAAATATTCATTAAACAATTGATAAATCATTTCAAATGCTAATATATATATATATCGATTTGTTGAAAAATGTTCAAAAAATGTCCTCGTTTTTTAATTGTCTTGGCGATTTGTGAATGACACGAGGAAAAGAAGCGATATTCCGGTTATTGTTGAGTACAACAATGAAATTGCGAACACTGACACATCGAAAGCCGAACTATCTGCTGATTATTTCCAAAATCAATATACACAGAGCGACTATATCAACTTGGATCAATTGCTGGATGAATGCGGAGACGTATCATTTGACATTGACATAAATGAAGTCGATGTGTTGAAAGCCTTGCAAGCGATCAACGTGAATAAAGGAGCCGGACCGGATGGTATTTCACCAAAACTGCTGAAAAACTGTGCACATACATTGTCAAAGCCATTAACAGTGCTATTCCGTAAGTCACTGCTTCGAGGATGTGTACCTGCGTCGTTGAAAAATTCCCGAATTGTGCCAATATACAAGTCTGGAAAGAAAAGCAGTGCATCGAATTATCGACCGATCGTTATAATACCAACAATAGCAAAAATTTTCGAAATTGTTGTTTATAACAAAATTGACACATTCATTAATTCGAAAATCAGCCACAGCCAACATGGATTCGTGAAAAATCGATCGACATCGACAAATTTACTTCAGCTGGTGAGTTTCACGATCGACTCGATGACCAAAAAATGCCAAACAGATGTATTGTACACCGATTTTGAGAAAGCCTTCGATCGTGTAAACCACAAGAAATTACTACAGAAGCTGGTGGGTGTTGGATTCGGCCGTAGACTTGTCAAATGGTTTCATGAATATTTGACAGCTCGCACATAATTTGTTGGAATCGGTGAACGAAGGTCAATGACTTTCACTGTATCTTCTGGAGTACTAGCGGGAAGTATTTTGGGACCTTGTCTCTTCATTATTTTTATTAACCACATTGTCGAAATCGTGTCAAATGCACTTGTATTATTATTTGCAGATGATGTGAAATTAATCCGTTCCATACAATCGCCCATTGATGCCATCATTTTTCAAAATGCCATAAATCAATTGTCAGACTGGTGTACCGAAAACAGCCTGCATTTGAATCTAAACAAATGTTTCGTCATGACATTTGCAAAAGATGGGAAAATCGACTATGAATATACGATCAACAATGGCCAACATACGTTTGAAAGGATCAATGTTCACAAGGATCTGGGCGTTATTTTCGACACGAAATTAATGTTTGTCAACCATATTGACATGATTGCAGCAAGTGCACACGCGGCAATGGGCTTCTTAAAACGCACATTGAAAAATAAGTTCACTATCGAATCGGCAAAAATCTTATATTGTGCACTGGTTAGGTCAAAGCTAGAATACGCGAGTATTGTATGGCAACCATACCACCGTATCCTTTTCGATAAAATAGAATCCATACAGAAAGATTTTGTAATATGGACATTGAGATTTGTTTACCAAAGAGACGAGAATTTTGTATTGCCACCGTATCATTTCAGATGTAATGTTTTAAATATTCAACCGCTTTGGAGACGGCGTATAAATGCCTCTATATTTTTAATTTATGATCTCCTTTTGGGTAAAATAGTGTCTAGTTCGCTTAGAAATAAAATTGTATATACACGACTGCAATACAACGATAACCAAAGAAATTTAAGAAATACAGAACTGATTAGAGCTAGAACATTTACATTGGAGTATGCACACAATCAACCATTTTACGTGGCTTGTAGAAACTTTAATTTAATAAGAGAAACATTTTTGGAATCGGCATCGAGACAAACTTTTAGAAATAATATTGTTAAATTGAACAATGTGATATTTAAAAATCGATAAATTGGCTAGTTAAGGACAATTGTGTTATGATTTAGAAATATGCAATGGACACAGTCGATATCTGCTGCTCCGAAGTCGAAAAGACTGGTGGCTGGATATTCGATCGGGTAGTGTTTCATTGCGAATGATATTGTAAAATAATTGTGATACATATATTCAGTCTGAGAACAGGCGGTGAAATAAATAAATAAAATAAAAAATAAACGAATATCAACTGCGCAATACAAATCGATAACACAAAATTCAAATGTTTTTTTTTTCAATTCATTTCAATTGTGTCCATTAGAATAAATATGACAATACAAAAACGGAATCTGAAGAACGTTACATAATTTTTTTTTGTATGGAGTTGTACTATGTAAAAAAAATAATTATGTAACGTTCTTCAGATTCCGTGTTTGTATTTTGCCACTTTTATTCCAATGGACACCATTTTTGATACGTTTAGAATATATAGGGCATTTCAACTTATTCTGTGTTCATTTTTTCTTTTTCTTTTTTTAGACGACGATGAGACCACGACGAAAAACCGCCGTCGATGCAAATAAACGGATTCGACAAATACTGAGAGAATTGGTCTCGCGTGTCCGAGATTCGGATGAATCGGATGATGAAGATGAACATAGAGAGCAGCCTGCACCTGAGCCACCGGATTCATCTGATTCTGAACCAACGGCACCAAGATTTGGTTTCCGACCATTATGTTTTCCGTTCACACAGGAAACCATTGAGCAGTCAGACACACAACCTGAGCCACAGTTTGAACCACAGCCACAAACAGAACAAGAGCTGCTATTGAAGCAATGTCAATCTTTTCGTATCTGCTTGAATCGAATCAATTAGGATGGAAATGCTTTTTCGACTTCGAGAAAACGTAAAAATACGCTCTCACCGTCTCAGTCGCCTTCAACACAACCAACGACAAGTGGTACAGCTATTGCAACGGAATTACTTGAAAATCATCAAGCTCAACGTAAAATCGGTAAGTAGACTCTACTATTGAACTAGTTTGAGTAAACTATTGGGTGTAGGCATTAATTCCTGCGGTTTTTTTGGTGAAAAGAAACATTTATTTAAAAAAAATAAGAATGAGTACATTAACCAATGTACTGCCCATCGTTAGCTATGACTTCGGCCCATATTCTTGGCAGCTTGTCGATTCCGCGTCGAAAGAATTCCTCATCTTTTCCAGCTATCCATTGATCGACCCATTTTCGCACTCCTTCAGAATTTCGAAACGATATCTCAGACAAGCCCATTTGCAATGATCGAAACAAGTGGTAGTCAGAAGGGGCAAGGTCTGGAGAGTACGGGGGGTGATCAAGCTCACCCCGACCAGAGTCCCCTATCTTTTTTTTTGCGATGTTTGAAATATGTCAAATTTTGATAAATCCTTCGACTATTTCTTGTCGCAGTTTTTCTCAATTTTTCTCTCAGTAATCTGCTCAAACGTATTGGTTGTAGTAGATACCGATCCCCCGTGACAGTTTCACCTGGTTTCAGCAGCTCATTATACACCACACCACTTTAATCCCACCAAATAATGAGCATTACCGAGAAATCATCAAAATCCTGCTATGCTATCGATTTTGATGATTGTGTGGGATTGAACCCTTATTTTTATGCCTGGGGCTATCGTAGTAGATGCCCTCTTCACTTCCAGTTACAATACGATACAAAAATTCCTTTCTTTCCTATTTTTGGAACATTGTGCCAAAATGTGAAAAAACGTCTTACAACTAGTTTTGATTCATCTGGTGTGGCACACAATTTCTTTGGTCTTAAAGGTCCATTTTCCAAGGCGGCGATTACAATCGTGTACGATTTCAAATCGTTGGCAAAAATCGTTAACGATTGAGATCAATGGTTTTTTTGACGCCAAAATCGTGAACGATTT